TTAATGAAAATGATATTCTTTTTTCTAACTCAGTTAACACAAATGCAAGTAATTGGCCTTGTAAAACCAACGAAATGTGACTCTGTGGTTTGTGGCCAATCCTAGATGAGCCACACAGCAATACCCCACCCCATAACCATCAATTTTCTTCCTTATTACTGAAACATTGCGCCAGGTAGTTAAGTAAAACCAATCGTATCAGTACACAGGGTTCATACGAAGGACAACGACTAAAAAATGTGGTCAGCGTTTGTCACATCTAGCGGATCTCTCCATTGTCATTACCCTTCCGCCGTCTCATGCCTGCACTTTTAAGCATAATCTACTCTTGATCCTCCATCAGTTCCTTCGTTCGATTGTGACATTGTCTCCAAGATATAATATACATACACGTCACAGAATTCACGTCGACAATGACAGGCTAGTAAGTTTATACCCTCCCAGAGTAAGATGCCTGATGCGCTTGATCCTCTCTTGTCGGTATTTATAATGTGTACAGCTTCTAACCTGTAAAAAAGTCACATGAAAGTTAATATCTTCCTAATGTTAATATGACCCTCCAGTTGTTCCAGTGGCCTCAAAAACTATTAGATCAATCAACGAGATAATACTAATATAAAATAATTGAGGAAACAAAATATGGTTTTGGCTGTTTAATGGCAAATAATGGTGAAGCTTTTCCCGCAAAAGAAAAATGGTGAAGCAACAGTTACCGATGTTGACAGAAAAGAAATTGACCTCTCCTATTCCATTCCCTCATGCTTAAATCAGCGCTCTCCTCTCTTCGAGTACATTCCCAACACCAGAAACTGAGCTACCAAACAATGTCTCAGACATCTGAGGAAGAGTCTCTATTCAACTTCCAGCAGCAACAGAAGCTGGCACTCTGTGAAGCAGCACTGAGCAAAGGCGACCCCATCATCCATGCAGGGAAAAAGAGACGAGGTCATCCTGGCCAACCAGGTAAGGTAACAGTTGTAGCATATATTGTTTCAGTATTTATGAGTTCAACCCATACTTTCAACTACCACAAAGCTAAAAACATGATGGCACGAAAGATGGATCCAGGCATAATCCAAGTATAAACTTTAACTGTGCCAACATGGAGTGGTTCTCATATAAAGATGATAGAATGCTGTCATGATATCAAGTTGATTAGAAACGTACGTATAAAGACAGATTATGGTATTAGTGAGTCTGAACGATCACTTGTAAACAACCTACTTTCACTGCTGAACTATTGTTTTTACAGTCCAATCCTGTCATGATTCACCCCAGGTCTAGTTAATTTATTTCATGGGTAATAAATAGCTCTAAGCCATGCAGCAATTAATCAAACACATAGCATTCAAACAGTTTGTTGTTGAGTGAAATGACGGATGAAAGTAGGATGCGGACAGGAGCAACAATCTGTTAACATCACCCATCTGTTCATCTTGTTCATTGTGCAGATCCAGATGCAGAAGTAGTTGCATTCTCACCCAAGACATTATTGGCAACAAACAGATATATATGTGAAGTCTGCCATAAGGGTTTCCAGAGAGACCAAAACCTTCAACTCCACAGGAGGTGTCACAACTTACCATGGAAGCTCAAGCAGACAAGCGGCACCGACGCTAAGAAGAAGGTGTATATTTGCCCTGAAGCCACCTGCCCTCACCATGATGCAACCCGTGCTTTGGGTGATCTAACAGGGATAAAGAAGCACTACTCACGGAAGCATGGCGAGAAGAAATGGAAGTGTGAAAGATGCTCTAAGAAATATGCAGTCCAATCGGACTGGAGAGCACACACGAAGATATGTGGCACCAAGGAGTACCGCTGTGATTGCGGAACAATATTCTCAAGGTATTTTTCTCATCAATCAAGAACTATAATGCACAACAGGCTCTTAAATCCTGGAGTTGTCTGGTATTTCAACAAGTAGATATTTCAGCTAGATTAATTGTTGATTATGACTGCTCCAAATGTGATATTCAATACCCCTGAGGGCCTCTTTGGTTTGCAGTATTCAAAAAGCACCGGAATAGGAAAATCATAGGAATAGGATGTCATGGCATTTCAAATCCTACAGAAATCAAAAGTACAAGGGATTTAGTATTAAGGTTATTTGGTTTCACCATTTGGAAAACACTAATTTTCTAGAGATTTGAGTGGATATCGTAGTTGTCATAGACTCGAAGGAATTTTCCATGCAATCTAACCTCTTGCGAGGAATCCTATGGAATTGTAGTGTACAAAAGCAATCCATAGGAATTTGGGAGGATCCATTCCTTTGAATCAGATGAACCTAAAGGAAAATTTCATCTGGATTAGAATCCTACGAAATTCTTTAAATAATCCTTTGACCTAAAAGAACCGTGTATTCACCGGCTAGAAATTCAATTACAAAAACAAAACAAGCCAGCATCAGTTTCCCACACTTGGTGCAAACATAGGATTGAATCATATATAGTTTATTTTCTGCCATGCATGCTACCTAGCGTGCATAGATCCACCATCCATTTCACCTGAATATCCTTGCCACATTTTTTTAGTTTTGTCAAAGAATATCTTTGTTTCTAAGTGTTACATGATGTTTTGCCAAGTTGCTCTTGTTTCAGAGTGAATCTCAAACACAATAAGCTGGGAATCCTAGTAGAAAAACATTTCCCTACCTTCTCCAGGCAATCTACACCACATGAGTGAACAATCACAAGTGTAACCATCTGAAGTGCCGATATTTACAAACTGACATTTCTTCCCGTTACAATATTGTTACAGAAAGGACAGCTTCATCACACATCGAGCCTTCTGTGATGCATTAACTGAAGATAACTCCAGAATCAACCAAAGCCTCGCTGCCATGGTGGGAAGTTTGCATGGCCAACAGCAGAACATCTTTCCGCACACGATACCTGGTCCAGACTCTTCCCCAAATGATGCAGCCGGAAACTTCTCTGGTAATGACCATAGTTCAGACGACCATCTGGGGTCTTTATCACCTTATACTTTCATCCGAAGGTCCACTTCATTGTTCTCCAACCAGATGATATTACCACACGATTCTGGCACTCTAGCAGATGGGAGTGAACCAAGCTCTCCTTACATGTCCATGAGCTCTCCATACATGTCAGCCACAGCCCTGCTACAGAAAGCAGCAGAGATGGGAGCAAAGACCAGTGAAGATCCTACGACGCCATTGCTTCTGAAAGGTTTCCCGAACTATTTCACCACCAAAGATCACATTGGGATATCTTCTGGCATCCTAGGGACCCCGATAGCTAATAGTGATAGAAAGAAGACTGCTGAAGACAACAGCTCCTACATGAACTCACCATGGACTGGTAGCTGCATGAGACTTCCTAATGCAGTGCCTTGGATCGGACTACCGCCATTTTCCATGGGGGCAGAAAATAGAAGCTCTAGCATGGTTGATGAGGATCATATGCAGCAAAATGCGCATGAGACCATTTTTGGGGTTAGAGATGTGGGACTAACGCAAGACTTTCTAGGTTTAGGAGGCCATGGTAATGCCGAGATGCACGATGACACCTACAATGGGGAAATGGCATTAAGCTATTCCAATGAGCAGCAGAAATCTGAGCAAGATATCTACTCCTACCATCAGTAGTCTCATGAATCTATAGACCCATTTGGGATTCATAAGCACAATAGTTTACTTACAACAAATAGTTTCAGCTTGAAGTTCCTTCAATAACATGTACTACAATATAAACCTTTATTATTTAAGTCAAAATATGGCTAGAAGATGATTTCATGAAATTCTGAAAACTGAGCTGACACAAAACTGACACGGACAGTGTGGCTTTACAGAAATCTGGTATTGCATTCAATAAGAATAAAGCTCAGTGCAAAATTATAATTATGGATGCTGGAATAGAGAGTGCAGAACATGTATTTGATTGAACAATAATTAATAACCAGAGTCTGGAATGTTATGACTTCAATGACAAGCAACATGTGAGCAACAAAAAACAGAGTTGCCTCTCAAATGAGAAAGCAACAGAATACATTTTTATCTGCTTCAGTAAAATACATGCCTCAAATGACAATGCTCACAGCATACTGGATCCGGAAGCAACAAAACGCTGCCATCTTCAACAGAGAGGCTCAATGTCACTCACCAAGCTGTTGCGACACAATACAGGCAGACGACAGTTTGTGGGCCAGTACAAGGACTTCAGGCGTCACTACTGGCAGAGCTTAGTGCTCAGGGGTGTCAGGTGTAGCATCATCTGCTGGGGTTGTGATCCCTATTCTTAGGCTTGTACAAAAAAACTTCTATTTCTATCGTTGCATCAAGACAAAAGCTTTAGTGTTTCCTTGCAAAAAAATGCATGCCTTTACAAAATGTGGGGAGAAATGGCACCTCTTCAAACATATCTTTTCAGCACAGAAAAGAATAAAGGGCAGCCCCAGTGCATGTAGCTCCCGCTTGCGCAGGGTCTGGGGAAGGGTCCGACCACTTTGGGTCTATTGTACGCAGCCTTTCCCTACATTTCTGCAAGAGGCTGTTTCCAGGACTTGAACCCGTGACCTCATGGTCACAAGGCAGCAGCTTTACCACTGCGCCAAGGCTCCCCTTCTCAGCACAGAAAAGAATAAAAAGGCATAATCCTCTAAAGGTTTTGGTTGATCTTCATGTACCATCACGATGCCGCTGGGACATAAATAAGGCATCTGTTAAAGTATATACTCCCTCTGTCCAAAATAAGTGTCTCAACTTTGTACTAACGTTAGTACAAAGTTATACTAAACTTGAGACACTTATTTTAGGACGGAGGGAGTAGAAAATATTCTCCACAGAAAAATTCACGAAGATACAAAGCATTATTAGACTGTTAAATGTAGGAAGGCGTACAACAGATACCACACTGAAAATTCCACATATGAGGCTTACATAACTGATCATGCTTCATGCCTCCATCCATCACGTGCCCTTGAGCCATTCCCGGAAATAAGCTTGCATTTTATCTCGGTTTGCCGCATTACCAACATTAACAGTGGGAATTACCTTTTGAGGTCTCAGAAACTAACCAGAAAAATATTATCCTATGGTTAGAAAACATCGCAGCAAAGACTAGCAATGTAACAACAGTTTGGGGATTTACCTTCAAAAAGTCCCTAAGCTCGCTGAAACTTGAGTGCTCGCTATAAGGTACACCTACAAGGAGAAGAAATTACTTCAGAACTCATAAAGGGGCGGAAAATGTATGCAAGTTTGGAATTGCTGAACATGACACCTGACACAGATTGGATAAGAATGAGGTTAATCATCATATTACAGTTAAAAATCTGAATTTGAACCACGTATGCTTTTTATACGGTTCAGCTTCTGGTTTAAAAGGATAGTTCATTTTAAAGTTCAACAAAACACATAATCCATGTAGGACGGCCTAATATAGGGCGCATAAGATGTGGTTTAATTTCTGAGAATGAATTTGGTGGTTACCTACCTTCGCATTAATAAAGCAAACACGGACGGAAAATACATGATCAGCTCTAACAAATCCTACCATAGATTGTAACTCTGCCTCTAGAGCTAGGTTTAATTAAGTCAAGCTCCTTTCCAGCTGCCTCAGAAAAAGTCCAACCTGATAAAAGATTAGGAAAGAGAACTAAGAATTATGCAATCACAAATTATGGAATACAGAATTTATCTCCTAGAGATCATTAACCTGTAGGTCGAAAAGCCAGCACAGCTAGAAATCTTTGATCAAGAGTCTCCAAGTACTTCTTCAAGTTCTATTAAAAGCTACTTTCTGGTGAGAGATGTTACTAGATAAAGCCACAAAATTTAATTTAATCAGATATTCATTTCCGACCTCATGTTGCAGTGATGCAAGGGGCAGAACATGAAGTGGTGAACTTTGATTGCATGAACTTATCCTTTTGGACAAGTCCGGCCAGCCAAATGAGTGAAGAATCCGCCTTCGTGATGCATCAGTGTATATAGGGACCTTTAAAGAATATACAAAAATGTCTTACTCCCTCCATTTTTATATACAAGGCCACAATCTCATATTACAGGTACCAGGATAAAATTTAATACATACTTTGCAAGCTAGCTTTTCTTTTCGTTTACTAGGATCATTAATACGCCACATGCATGCAAGAAAACTGAGACTAGCCACAATGGAGAGTAACATACACTAGTAACATACACATATCCCTAGACTATGTTACTACCTTCATAGTGGGTAGTAACATAGGTGTGGTGTCATGCAAAGCTCCATTTATTAGGTTATAGACTCATACTGCATTGGGACATGTGATGTTACAGTAACTAGCTAAGTTACTAGAACTACCTCTCTCTTCATTAACTCATTGCCAGTTTGCCACATAGACAAATTTGCTTAGTTGGACTTGAAGTTACTGCTGAAGTTACTCCCACTGTGGCTAGTCTGAGTGGAGGAAATAGCTGAGTGTCATTACGACTGCATGCAAGTTTTAAACAGGTTACTAGTCCAAGAAAATATCATAAATTTTTGCCTCGATTACTGTTGGTGGCCTTGTATAGATGCAAAATGTATATTGCATAGTGGCCTTGTATAAGTAAATGGAGGGAGTATCTGAAAACTAAAAGACGCTCATGGCCATTTCAGACAGCACAGCATTAGGAAATACTACTTGGCAAGAAAGACAGCAATAAATAGTGAAATCCCAGCTATATAGTACCTCTAAAGCTTGAGAAATTGCTAGATAGACATTCTCTTTCCCGATGCTATATGCCCCAACAACAATAAGTGTCTTTGGTTGCTTCTTTAGATACCTTTGAGCTGTCCTGACAACAAAATCAATAACATCCTCCTGTGGTGGAAATCTGAAACAGCTATCAGGTTAGCAAAGTAAACATTATAGAGGAAATGCTTAATTTCAAGGTTGTGAGCTGACTTGTATTTTGGATTGCAATATGTTGTATCCAGATAAAGCAAACTTATGCGGCCAGTTTGGAGGAGTGGGTGCAATTGCATGGATTTTGATGCTCTAAAATCCCCAGTGTGGAGATAGGTCTTGCCATCACTAAGACGAAAGTGAATTAGAGCTGCACCAGGGCAATGATTGGCCTCCAAGAAGGTAACCTTCACTCCGTCAATGACATACTCAGTATCAAGCTCCAAGGGACAAACATACCTGCAAACATCAATTTGCCACTCAGTAGTTGGTATCACTGCTGCTGCTGTTGGTGGTAGAGAATTGGAGAGGTCATCATCAAACACTCCGAAAAATGAAGCCTTACGCAGAGTCAATTGATAGTAACATCTTCACCAGGCGTGCAGTGAGTGCAGTACAATAGATAGGACCATGACACCACTTCTTGGTTAACCCACCGTAATGATCATAATGGAAATGGCTGAGAAAATAAGCAGAGCACCCCTCAACTGCTCCATACCGAAATGCGTCCACCGTGAACGGCGTACCTAGATCCAATTTAAAGATACATGAAAAGAACAAATCAGTGACATCAAACATAGCTAGCGTTCAATATGCTACCGTTCTCAGTTAGCGCGGAGCCACATACACAGAGACACGCGGTAGTGAACTAATTAAATCACTACAGCAATTCTTCAATAGACCCTAGTAACGCAATACGCGGCCATAATTCCAACCGTGAGTGCAGGAACAGCCTTTACCGGGAATCTGCTTGTAGAAGGGGCAAGCGACGGGCTTCCTGGACGCCCCGTTCTCGTCCGAGCCTCCCCAGCGCCGCTTCCTACCGGACCCAGCAACAGAAGGAGAAGGGGAAGAGGAGGAAGCCCCAGCCCCAACGGGGACCCCCTGCGCCGCCTCTTCCCGCGGCGGCTTCTGGATTCCCCACGCCTGGAAGAGGTTCTTCTGAACCGGCGGGCCGCAAACTTTCTCCGTCATTCCAGAGGCTGGCTTCTCGATCCCCCACGCCTGGAAGAGGTTCTTCTGAACCAACGGGCCGCAAAATTTCTCCGTTGTTCCATCGGCTGGCCTTCTCCGATGAGAAGGAGGGGCTTGCAGGGAGGACCAGTCGATGCCGCTGCGGTAGAAGTCGTCGGCGAAGCTGCTGGTGGCGGGTGCGGTGGGGGGTGACGCGGGGAAACCGTTGTCGTCGAGGTCGTCCGAAATGGGCAGGGTCAGGTCGGTTTCGGCGTCGCCGGCGATGGCGGCGACCATCGCGGCTAGGGTCGCAAGGAGGGTTTGAAACGAGCGGCGGGAGTGGGGAGGGAAGAAGAGGAACGGGGAGGAGTGGCGTGGCGTGGGAAACGAATAGGGTGTGGTGTGAACGCGCTGCGGGGACTGCCGATCGTCCGATCAGTTTGATCGACGATCCAACGTCGCGTCCTTGGTTCGGTCTTTCGTATAAAAAAAAAAAGATAACCATCGCATCCTTAGACCAAATGCGGATGCGAACGTTAAATGTTAATTTGGGCGCGGCACTTTCTTTGTTTCCATTTTATTTTGCGTGCTGGTTTAAGAGCAACTCCAGCTGACCCAAACGGTGATTTCGTTTATTTTTTGTTCGTTTGGATCGGCCGTCTGTCCAGCGTCCGCCCTGTTTTTCGTATGGGTCGATAGCGCGCCCAACACGCCGATGTGCAGGCGTGGCCGGTTGACCGCCCAATTTTACATTGATTTGCATTCAAACATATTGTGAAATGAAATAACAAACAAAATAGTTTAGCCGCCCAAATAAATAGTACTCCCTCCGTTGCTAAATATAGGGTGTATAGTTTTTGGCACAGAAATTAAAGAACGCATGTGGAGGGAAAATTTCACAAGTTTTGGGCGAGACTACACCTGAACAATTGACATGAGAAAATAGAGGAGCTTGCTCTATGTAAGGAAATGTAATCAAATCCCTTTAAAAGTTATCCAAACGAGTGGTGCAAGGTAATACACCTTATATTTCGAAAAATTTCTCAAAAATCTATACACCTTATATCAAGAAACGGAGGGAGTATAGTTTTACAGGCCAAATACAAAAAAAAATGTTTCACATAGTTTTGCAAACGAATAAAAGAAGATACATCCATTGGTTGCCAACATGAGTCCACATATGCTTAACCAAATCATTTTGCAGTTGCACGTGAGTTTCCCAATCACGCATGTCTTCATGAAACTGAGTGAACTGCTCAAATGTTGCCGCTACTCCATGCTCAGGCACAACATTCTCACCCTGAAACTGAAAGCCTTGATCATACAGACGTTCCGGGCGCTCGTCTTCTACTATCATATTGTGCATGATCACATAAGCAGTCATCACCTCCCATAGTTTCTGCGTGCTCCAAGTATTACCAGGATACCGAACAATGCCCCATCGAGATTGCAAAACACCAAAGGCACGCTCGACATCCTTTCTAGCACTCTCTTGCTCTTGGGCAAATCTTTTCCTTTTCTCTCCGACAGGGTTGGATATTGTCTTGACAATAGTGGTCCACTGAGGATAGATACCGTCACCCAAATAGTACCCTTTGTCGTAGTTGTGGCCGTTGACAGTAAAGTTCACCGGTGGGTTGTTGCCTTCGGCAAGCCTAGCAAACACTGGCGAGCGCTGAAGCACGTTGATATCATTGTGTGATCCAGCCATGCCAAAGAAAGAGTGCCAGATCCGGAGATCTTGAGACGCCACGGCCTCTAGTATGACAGTGCAAGCCCTGACATGTCCCTTATACTACCCTTGCCAAGCAGAAGGGCAGTGCTTCCACTCCCAGTGCATGCAGTCTATGCTGTCAAGCATCCACGGGAAGCCCCTGCTGGCATTCATCGCCAACAAAACGGGTTGTATCTTCAACTGTCAGCTCTCAAGTACTCAGGGCCAAACACAGCAATCACAGCCTTGCAGAACTTATACAGGGACTCTAGGCATGTAGACTCGCTCATACGGACGTACTCGTCAATGAGATCACCGGGCACTCCGTATGCAAGCATTCGGATGGCGGCAGTGCATTTCTGATAAGAGGAGAAACCAATCTTGCCGACGGCATCCTCTTTGCACTCGAAGTAGTCATCATAGTTGACCACTCCCTCTCTAATACGGTTGAAAACATGCCTACCATACGGAACCGGCGGCGGAATTTGTGATGTTTGAACAACGGGTTTGTTGTATCAAAGTAGTCCTTCCAGAGAAGAAAATGCCTGCTCTCTCGGTTACGATTCAACGCCGGAAGGTGGACCAGAATGGAGCCACGGAACAACGGTCGTTGGTTGTTGAGGTGGTGATGAACCAACACGGCAACCAATATCTCCTCCTCCTCGTCGGACGACGAATCGTCGGAGTCGCAAAGGAAATTGTGGAAAAAGAACTCGTCGGCGAAGTCCATTTTCGTACCTTGGCAAACTGTCGAACAACTTGCGGGCGTCGAAGAAGGAGACGACCGACGAGGGGAGACGCGGCGCCCACAGACTAGTTAGCTGCCCTGCCGGCGTCCGACGAGTGTGACGGCGTCCGACGAGCGTGCCGGTCGGATGTGGCGGGGGCGGCGAGGCGTCTTCTTGGTCGCGGGCGGCTCTGCGGTGGGGGAAGCGGCAGCGGGAACCAGTTTGCTCCCCGACGGCAAAACGGCGGCGGCGGGCGACTGGGGGCAGGGCGGCGTGCTGGGCGGATATGGAGGCGGCGGTAGCTGGAAGAGTCGCTGGCAAAAATGGGCGGCGGCGTCGATGACGAAGGAGGCGGGGCGAGGGTTGCTCGTCGGCCGGGGGGTGAGAGGGGAGGCCAATGTGCCACAGACCAACGGGCCCAGGGACAGGAGTAGGCGAGCGCGCGCGCGTCCGTCGCGTGTCCGCACTAATGCAAATCAGGCTAAAAAATGGGCCGGGAATGGGTCGCCCGCGGACGTAAAACGGACGCACGTCTGCTGGGTCGGCGCGTTGGGTCGCCTTTACTGTCCGACCGACCCAAACGAACAGTCGCGGACAAAATGGGTTGCCCCATTAAAGTTTCTCTAAGGGTATGTATGTCAGTGTTATTTTAAATTTCTTTTGAGAAACAAACATGTACGCACACCATATCCATAGAAACACCTTTGAGAAACTGTCGCAGATCTTTTAATATTGACGAAGTCGCCTTGTACACCTCATATTTAAGGGGCACACTATATTTTTGAAGGAGTAGTGATGGAAAGCGTGCAATAAATCCAGGAAAATACGATCACCTACGCAAGTCTAGGACTTGAATTCGTATGGGCAGATTCAATTACAAGGAAGTTGGTGTTTTGTGTGAAACGTTTCAGAAAGTTAATAAAGTTTGTCATTCTTGTGGTAGGCTAGTTTTAGGAGGTTTAGAGAAGCAAAATTTTACGAGAGTTTTCCCAAAGGCAACCTAACTCTCTCAAATATACTTGACCGACATCACTTCTTAGGATAATTTTTGGCTTGTCCTTGTCCCGTCTAAGGCGCCATCTCTCCTCGCCACCCCCGCCAAACCTTGTCGTCAGCACCATTGTTGCCTTGTATGCCAGGCGGAATGAAACCGGAAGCCGACTTCACGACCCCATTGGCTCAACGTCCCCGGAAACAACACTTCCACCGCTGCGCGTGCCAAGGAAGAGGTTGGGGGACAAACAAACTTACTCCAGACCGTCGCGCCAGCATCAAAGGCCGGTGGCAAGGCCCCAACGGCTGCGGCGATGCACTGGCGCCCTCCCACTGCTCCGATCGATGGCAAGCGAGCGAGGTAGCTGATGGAGGTGATCACCGAGGCAACATGAAGAAGAAGGTTGCGCCGACGCCCACACCACCTTCTTCTCATTCGGAGGATCGTAGCCCCACTCCGGCCACCCCTACACCTCCTCCGACAATTGGCCGCCGCACCCGCACTCCAGTGCTCGATGAAATGCCATAGGTAAATAAATTCCTTTTCTTTTTCGGCCGAAACATTGATGATGGTTTGTAGCCGTTGGGTTTGAGCTTGTTGTTGTTCATTGTAGTGTGGAGGGAGGGGGTGCAAGTTTCATGTCTCAATTGCATTCGTCACATCCAAGGCCTCGACGATCTCAGTCATGATAGTGCTAGGTATGCTCAAGGAGAACAATAATACTGATGTGGAGGAGGTCGGAGATCCCATGGATACTCGAACAATAATTTTAAATGTGCTCCCTCCGTTCCAAAATAGTCAAAGTTAGTATAAAATTAGGTCATCTGTTTTGGAACGGAGGGAGTATGTGATACAAGGGTTCAACTAGGTCCAAACACTGTTTAACTCATCGGCTAGAGATGCCCCAAGGGTTTTGCAATTATCTACGTGTGGTCAACCAGCACATTATTTCTTGCTTACATGCAATTTGCAGATGGAAAGGATGAAACTACAACATATATCAAAGATGCAGGTTTTATTTTAATTTCAAAGGAGAAAATTTATTTGATTTGCAGATTACCTTATAGCAGGATTACAAAGGTATTCATGCAGAAAAAAAAATGGAATAACAGATTGAAGATTGATGATACTCAACTAGGCAAGGCACATCATGCACAGTAAAGTACTCCATCCGTTCCTAAATATAAGTCTTTTTAGAGATTCCACTATGGACTAGATACGGAGCAAAACGAGTGAATCTATATGTCTATATACGTGTAGTTTGTAGTGGAATCTCTAAAAAGACCTATATTTAGGAACAGAGGAAGTAAAACATTTCGTTCCAATGTTTCTTCGCATCAGAAATAGTTGCCTTCCAGGCTCTGTTGATAAGTGTACAAATGATAATTATCAATACACCAATAAATGACAAGATACACCACACAATACAAGCTAAAAAAAGCAATTGAATCATCTACAATCCTTTAATAAGAAATAATCCTGGTGATTCAGGCGGCTGTTCATGTGATTTATGCCTGTAACTTCATATGAGAATCAATGACGATAATTTTCTCTTGTTAAGAATGATGAATTCACTGTGATATGAGAACCAGCGTCCTCAAGGAACTTTTGGAATCTGTCTGTCAACTGTCATGTTTAGATCTAATGTACTCTCCTTGGACGCTCTTATCCAATGAATATCTGGTCTGTACTTTCTGAAAAACTGCAGAGCCAGCCTCCAATTTCAGGAATCTTTTCCCTGGCTCTGAGAAGAATCCACCTGCCCCCATAGAGTCTCTGCGTAGATCTTTTCCTCTTCTTTCTCTTCAGGACAACAGTCAGATAGCTCAACCACATGCTCATCATCTTCATCTGGTATATCCTCGTCAGTCTCTTCCGACAAGTCGCTCTGCGGAATACAAGCTTCGGCCATGGCTTGTCGTATAGCCAGCGGTGTCACGGGCCTATCACTGTACTTGTATTGTGGTGCAGGGATGACAAATGGAAGGGATATGCCATCAATCCCATGCCTCCTTCCATTGCCCTCCTTTGACATGCCTGGCAGCGGGGCAATGAGAATGATGCCCAGCTCATAGTTGCAAATGTGCAGCCTTGACCCAGAAGGAGCTCCTCTGGTGGCATCAGTAGGATTCGCTTTGGACGGAGGGCGCAACGGTTGTCCCCAGGCAGCTGGGCTGAAATTGTGAGATCCACAGTAAGTCCAGCCAAATGAATGGCCACCTAACCGAGACCGGAATCGCCTCTGAGCAACCTGGTATAGAGTATGATGTCAATATTGTAACCATAGTTTTTAAGGCGGTAAGGCGACCTAAGGCGCTGGGGGGGCGCCTTATCGCCTAGGCGACGCCTAAGCGCCTAAGGCGGGCATATTTGTAAGGCGCTGGGGGGGCGCCTTATCGCCTAAGCGTCCAAGGCGGGACGCCTTAAAAACAATGATTGTAACTGGGGTTCATTAGTTAGCAACATCCATATTGGGGATGATGATTAAAGTTAGCCTCTAGTTCTGCTAAGCTGACCACTCCATTGACCTGTTGAGGGTGAGAGAATTTTTTTCATCATTGTGAATTCCTTTCCCTCGTTATCCATTAAATCGCATTGTTATATACTCCCTCCGTCCCATAATATAAGAGCGTTTTTTACACTACACTAGTGTCAAAAACGCTCTTATATTATGGGACGGAGGGAGTAATAATTTTCCTTGAATCATCATCCTCCCTAATATAGATGTCGCCTAAGACCTACATATGCTATCCACCTCAGCATTAACAAGAGAAGGCAATGAATATTTACCCTATGATATTGAGCATACCTTAACATGCATAGGATGCCCTATCCTATCATGTGGATGTGGGATTGCATCATGAAATATGCCGGTAGATCTCAATCTTTGCCACGTTTTCTGTAAAAATGGAGTATATGAGATGGGTAGAAGTAGAACCATAAAATATAACTTATGCCTTCTTTCTTCAACCACCAGACTACAATATTCTGGACAGGATATTATAATGGAAGAAAAACTATTCCCACCGCAATGTATCTGCTATACAAGGAACACCTCTAAGTCATTAATATCCTTATCACTTGCTTCTCTAACTAGAGAAATGTGTGTCGCCTATTTCATTGTGCACAGCTACATAATTCATTGAACTAAAGCATCCCAGATTAATAAGAAACTTCATCCTGAAGGAAGTAGCTAGGCCATGGGAACTTCAAATATGATGTGAATGTGTCATGAGCTCTTTAACAGATAAAATAAGCACATAATCAAGATTTTGGAAAGAGAAATCAACCTCAGGTAGAGAAAGCAAATATCTGGACAACTGAATTCCACAAGCCGCGCTTTTCACCCTCTCAATTGTTGGAAATAACAAACTGATTGATGGCTTCTTTAGCTCATGGCCTGCTGTCCAGCCACCCCACTAGGAAGATTGGGGAACATGGGAAATGAATGTCCATGCATAATGAGTAAAAAGCCAGGAAGTTACTGAGATGGTGTAGTTCATGGGGCAATTAAATATTACCTCTGGATCAGATTCTTCGGAGTCAACATCGTGATTGGATCGTTTACCTGTCGCTGAAGCGAAGTGTGCAATGAACTGTGGATTAATAGAAGTCCCAATGGATGAAGCACCTATAATATAATTCGTAAATAAACGTGTTTAGTTAAAAAATCCCATATTAAGATGATTGGCTTCCAGTAACAAAAGAAAGATGGTTTTACTCACTGTACATAAAATCAGTCTCCAGTGTTTCAGGCCACTTAAAGTGTGATAATACCTGTTGCAGAACAATGCAGATCATAGTTTTAAGACAATGGGTTACTAAACATAGCAGGGGACAAGGGATTAACTTAGACAGTCACTAAGTAACTTAGGAAACTTTAAACACAAGCTGATAAAAAGAGGCATGAAATCCCCGTGAAAAAATACGAGAGGCAAGAAGAATAAACGCTGAATTTACTAGTCAGGCTATTTAAGAACTAACAGAATCATATTGCATAGAGTGCGCGCGCGGAACAGTGGGGACTGGGGAGAAATTGCACTATCGCATCTATCCTGTACTATTTGTAATTCTCACAGGATTCTTCACGGAGTAATTTATCATATATATTGGCAAGTCATATACAAACGATAATTCAACTTACGCCAACGATACTTGAACGAAATAAAATATGTAAGGTCGTATGAAACCGAAGAATGGAAGACTGTTCCCTTTAAATGGTGGCAAAAAATTAATGTGAGCTACGTCAATCACCTGATAGTGCTATGGAGCTACAAATTTCAAGTATCCCAGAGTAAGTATTACCACTAATTTAACAAAAAATATGGAATAGTAAATTATGCTATCAAACTTTAGTTTGGTTTATTACCTCTTCTAACCGCCAAAGCCCAGGGCTTCTTTTCAAGCACGCTACAAGTGAGCACAATGAAGGGAGATGTTCATCCTGAATCAGCCCTGAAATTTGAGAAAACTCTGGACCCTGAATTTCATAGAAAGAGTTTAAGATCAGCATGGGTTTCTCAAAACTACTGCAAAGATATCAAAAGGCATCTTGAGATCTTCCTACAATACCTTTGATACATACATAAGCAACTGCACTTTTGTGTTAGTTGCTCCAAATGCAGCTTCCAGGGCTTCTCTAGGGTAGATAAATCCAGAAAATTTGAAGAAGCCTGTGTCACTAAGGGGAGATACCCATTTCGCAACCTCTCTAGGCAAGAAACCAAGTTGGACAGAATCTGCTTCGGGGCATTGGACATGGTTATTGATTAAAATAACAGAAAGGGAAGCAAATATGTTGATTTGCACATGAATCATGAAACACAAAGCACATCAGGATGCGAGTTAACGTGCAGTAAAAGTTACACATTTTGAGGTTTGCAAGTACCTTCCTCACAAAATTTATCCAGATCAGCAACAAGGACACTCACAGCATTAGCATCTGCAGGTATATTTGTATTTCTTTTCAAGATCACTTCTGTAGTTCCATGCATGTTTTCACGGCATTTTCCAAGAAATACAGACAAGGCTTTCAGTTGTGAACCGGCATCAGATGGTAAGTGAAACCGATGGGATAAACCAACTACAGATGTTTGCACAGAACCAAGGAATATTCTATATGAAGATTTTGTATGTATAATCTGTTTTTCCTGCATAAATAATCGATAGTGTCTGGTCAGGAAATAGGTCAAAACTATTTTAATGAAGAACTAGAAGTTAGGACAAGTGTTTGTACTTGAGAATGTACGCAAATAATAGATAGCATGTTGTTTAGTTGAATATAGTTTATATGTTTAGTTATTCTTCCTAAGGGCTTCACTAAACAAGAAAATATACATCACATATTATATCAGTAATAAGAGTAGACTTACTGAAAGGCAATAATTGGACTCCAAATAACAAGGACTTGGCATATACAACCCTGGTACTGAAGCAACAAGGTACCCACCAGCTCCTTCAAAATCATACTTCGCTATCTCATTTATCCAATATGCTTGGCTAGGGACTTCATTGATAAGGGATCCTATGAATGAAACTAACTGAGCAGCGAAATCAGATTTTGGTCCCTCGAATGCACTAAAAAGATCTGAATAATCGGGGGATGTCCTACGGGGAAAGTCTTGCCACCACACTGTGTTTGTTATGAGATGCCACTGCACAAAGTATAGTTTGCTTTCAGTAAGAGCATAGCAACAGAAATCACCAGGAAAAAAAAAAGAATTCAAGACAAGACATTATGGCATGAATTGTAACACTGACCTGTCTAGGTACCAAGTTAGCTGAAGAAATAATAACACGCATGCTGTCCTCTCTCTGTAACACTATGAGCTTTGGATGGTGGCATGCAACTCCTTGATTCTTCCTATCCTTTCCAAATGCTATCACTTCTGGAAATCGGGGGTATCTTAAAGGCAAAATACACATCAACAAATCAGTATTAATCCTCCAGGAAAGTTATGCTTAACTTGTTTTGGTCTACCATAAAGCTCAGCAAATACTGCAAACTAAGATGCTGTGTCTGACTTGCCTACACCCTATGGATTCAAAATATGAAAGCATGAGATATTAGCTTGCAAGGATTTTTTGGGTAGCCACTTACACTAGAAGTAAATTAGGATGGTTTTCGAAAGGGACTGCAGTTCTATTTTCACTATTCGCACTCCAGCATCTGTCCTTGTTGTGGCATGCTATTGTTACTGGCAGGTACTGGGGAATCTTACAGTAGTCCAGGAACCTGAGAGACGTACATCAATTACGACTTCCATGGGGAATTTAATCATGGATCTCAACATGACAAAGGGGGAAATTCAACAGTGGAGAGAGCACGCACCAGGAAATGTCAGAGGTAAACGTTGCAATAAACACTCGCAACAAGCTGCCAATAGGGTGGAGAAGCTGTGGTAGGGTCACTCCACTGTGTTGCTCCGCTCGCATTTCAGGTCTTACGCCAGTGAGGCGGTTCAGGAAGAATGTGCTCCCGTCTGAGTAGCAACCCTCCGTGTGATGCTGCTCTACATTCCCATTACTGCACCCTTTGAGCTCTACATTGCTGCATCGTTTGCTTCTTTGAGGCACCTGAACAGTATCTTCGTTTGTAACATCAGGTTGGTGTCCCGGTCTGTTTTGATCAGAATTGCATTCTTGTTGCCGCAAATTCTCCTGAGGAAAAGAGTTAATTGGATTGCCCTGACACAAAAAATCACCCTCTCCTCTCGCTTTTTTCACTCCGGCATGTGCACGGTGTGGATCCCTCAAGAAAGAAATAGGGTCCTGGCTCTCTGAGATCGCTCTTAGCCGCTTCCGGAGCGACTCTGCCCTCAGCACAAGAACCTCCTCGCAGGACCCCGCTACCTCGTCACCCCTTTCGCAAGCGACAAATTTCTCCGCCACAAATCCGTACCTGGAGCCGAGGAGGAGCAGCGAGACCTCGTCGCCCACGGCCAGATTGACCGGGCCGCCGCCGTCGTCGAGGGGCAGCCCATTGACGCGCACGGCGTCGGGACTGGAAAAGCAGTGGGTGAGGCGGAGGACGCAGCCGGCAGTGCTGAGCAGAAGATCGCGGCGGCGGCAGCGCCTGCGGCGACGCGCAGGGGACGCGATGAGGCGGAGGCGGTAGCCCCGGCGGCGGGAAAAGGAGAGAGAATAGAGGCGGTCGGAGCGGAGCAGGAAGAGCGACGCGGCGGGGCCGAGGAGGCGGAGATGGAAGTAGCCCAGGCCGCCAGAAGTAGATGGGTCGCCGTGGTGGTTGCTTGGTGGCGGCTCCACCGCCATGAGGTGGGAGGAACGGAACTGGAAGGGGTGAAGAGCCGGCGGCGGGAAGGTGAGCCAGGGATTTATATTTTGTACCTGTTCCCGCCATTTATTTTGCACGAGTATGTATACATGAGATTTTTGTTCCGAAATACTCATAAGATGATTATTACAGAACATGCCCTCTCTCCAACACCTAGCGAAGAGAGGGAAAACGGACTTAATTGTAATGAAGATTAAAAACTGCATTACAGTAACTAAGGGAGTCGTGTGCAAGAATGCCAGGCGACTCCTTGGCTCCTTGCAAGGGAAGGAATCCCTCCTTCCGCTGGAAGATTGCCAACAGGTTAAGTCAACATTGCCACGATGCAAACAGGCAAAATGCTGTGAGAGCAGACGACCTTTGAAAATTGCCTCAACCTGCCCAGATACACTTTCCACGAATACATAACATGGGGGAAACTAAAACATGAAACTTCTTTTCTACTCCCTCGGTCCCACAATATAAGACGTTTTTGCAAGCTATGTTAGCTTACAAAAACGAATATAGCTTACAAAAACGTCTTATATTGTAGGGCGGAGGGAGTACTATATAATCAAGCAGCTGTTGTAGTTGTCACATTATAAATGTACATTCTGCATTTCATACATAAAGAGATAGGATGATGCCCTCTATTATTGGCTAGCCAAATGAATGCAGTGACATGGTGCACTCATAACAATTTATTCTATTTTCGAAGTTTAGCACTTGAATAAAGTAAGGTGGCCGTCAGGTTTGTCCCAGAACTCGAACCTAGGCAGGCAGGAGAAGCGCGGCATTAGCGCCTCTTCAGGGATACCCGGTTCCACTCACACATATCGTTATTCATAATAGATAGGTGTAGGTATGCTGCGGTAATCTGGTGTGGTGTACTTCAGTTACCAGGCTAATCTTCTCTTCAGCAGAAATATGGCACGCTGATGCGGCTTGTCGCTGCCTACATGTGCCACACGGCATATCTGTCTCCACATGCCGCCAGCTTCCACTCTGGGTCGCTTGGGCACCAGGGGCCCTCTCCGATCTTCATGCACAACTTATCATCGATTACTGCCGAGTACAGATTTGAGCTTGCCTCCAAAATTTTGACAGCTGAACGACTATGTATGTCTTGGGATTTCCTAATCTCCATCTGGGTACAAAAAATAATATTCAAAGTTTAGGGCAAACAGCTGTCATGGATGTATGCTAGAATAGATTGGTATGAACAGAATACCAGTTTTGCTATTTCATCGTGGAAAGAATCTCCCCAATCAAAGAAATGATCGTAGAACACTGTAGGGATTCCAGGGTGCGTGAGTATATAAGCATATCCCTGAAAGACAATTAGTTTGTGCATGTGTTTAGTAAATGACTAACAGTTATATCTCCGAAGAGAACAGCTCACTTGTTCTAAAGCAAATGATGCGGAAGCGGCTGTTAATACACAATTCACTTCTATACTAGTTCCAGCTGCAGCAGCATGGTCAGTGGTCACATCTTGAAACAGACTAACAGTATATCTAGATCAAGTCAGATACAATATGGGTGAAATCTTTGTCTATTCAAATACAGTATAAACATGTGATCCTTATTGACGATACCTGTCTTGAAATTCTTAATGTGACGAACGACTTTTTGATGCCTACGATCATTATTTAACTGCGTCAGGGTTTTATAAAATCATCATCGTTGTATAAATTGATTGCGTAGAACATGCAATTCACTTCTAACTAAAACCAGTCTATGGATAAGTAATGCAAACAACTGATGCCATACCTCCATGACATGGTCAGATGGAAATGGCCAATGGCCCTGAAATAATATAACTTCCAATTAGATATGCTTAATAGAACCCAATGAACAATTCCAAGCAAATATTAACTTGGAAAAGTTAGCCTTGAGCAAAGAAGGGGGGAAACATGGACCTGAGTTGACCCTGTGTCATGATTTTCAATAAATGTAACTGATCTTGAAGGCCACCACCCCATCACACCAGGCGGCTTTTCTTCAGGGTCGCGCAAACGCCACAACTCTCCTTTCACAGCCTCCTGCTCCAGCAACACCAAACTGCTCAAACAAATCACCAAAGATACTTACTTGCTCCGTAGAACCATGATCATTTCTAACCTGAAGAATACCCTTCGTTGTGAAATCAAACGCAGCGCAAAGTCCTCCAGTGCTATCTATCCAATTGATAATTCTCTGCCTGTGTTTATCTGAAAAAAATGAAAGATGTTGCTTGTATGTCTTTATTTGGTTTCATCAATACGACAAATGCGTGGAGACAATCTGATATAGTTACAGAACTGCCTTGCATTCGTAGTAGTAAATTAAACCTTCCATGTCAAGAACGGTTCAGAGAGATGGGCAGACAAATGAAGAGGAAACCAAGACAGTGGTAACAATCTAACATTGATAAATTTCGATAACATGGGCATAATATGTATATTACCATAATATTCATGGTAGTCAGTCAAGGGATTGGTTAAGAGCGCTTTGGCCAGAAATTACATCATTGTGGCATAGTAATCAGTACAGATGCCATTATGTATCTCTTACCCTGATTGTAGCTCAGACGGTTGTCAGGGGGGGCATATTCACAGCTGTCCCAGTATTCCCCCACTGCAAAAAGAGGCTTTGATTCCTCAATGTATTCTTTCACAAACTTCGAAGCATAACTGCACTAAACAGAAAATGTGGCCAATCAGCACATTAACAATGCAAAAATATGGCAACAGTAGTTAATTTGTTTGTTTAATAATAGTATGTTTCTAGCCAATTGACTATTTACCCTTTTGTGAAATCAAAGCGGAAATCTTGAAAACCAATGGTTTCCCGAAGCCAGATCAGCCATTCAATAATATCCTTCCTTACAAATGGCTGGGTATGATCTATGTTGGGAACCCCATCAAAGTTATCGCCAGTACTTTTGTTCCCCTGATAAACAAGTTGCACCAAAGTTGAGTAATGCTTAATAATAGTGCTTAGCAATCAAGATATGGTGATAAGAAAAAGGCTGCACAAAATAGGAATATCTTGTACAAACCAAGTCATACTTATGCATCACTATAAGAAGTAAAACTCCAGGTCGCTAGTACCCTGGTCATTGTTTTATACGGGGGTTTCTTTTTGTTCTTTGTTTTCTTTATTCTTAGTCTTTGTAAAATGGCTACCTTCCCACCAGAACAAGATGTAACCGCATGTTCGTCCCATGATATTGGGATACCATCATAACGATTATACATCCCATTTGATCCTTTAGTAGTCCCAACTCGATGGTTAATAACTACATCAGCCATAGCCCTTATATTGTGGTCATTCATGTTCTGAATCAACGAATTTAGCTGCTGAAGAGAACCATAACAAGAGTCAAGGCTGTACAGGTTCTGTGGCAGATAGCCTGTGGAGAAACGCATCAGTCAGACTTTCTGCAACTATTCTTTTGATAAGAAAGAGTAATGGTGAACTCATGACTAGCTTACCTTCTGGAGATAACGATTGTGTCGGTGGAGGCAACCATACTGATGTAAACCCAGATTTAGCAATGTCGGCAACTCTGCCCTCTAAATTACTCCACCAATTGTGTTTATGGGATTCCCAGTTAAAAGCCTGACACACAATTGATATCAAGAGATATGTGAGAGACTCGTACTTGTTCATTAAATGAGCTTTTCTGTATTCATGAAAGGCACTAGTCCTGTTGCCATTGTCATACGGGAAATATTCATAGCTTATCTTAAATTGGTGAGTGGGCCATGTCAAGCTAAATGCAAATTACGATGATGCACAAATGCACGCTCACCAAGACATGGGCAACCTTAAGACCACAAGACCAACTACTATAAGCAATAGCTTCTTTCCTATTTGTACTTTGCACAAGGAGCAAAATAACTCAAACTGAACAGAAACTAGATGCTAGATTACCCTGATACGTCATTGAGTTTCCACCCCGATGCCGGTCAGATACATCCGAATAATTATCGGTAAAAAATGAAATTATATCTGGTTTATAGTAATTGAAAGAAAAAAAGTATGTGCTAGCAGATTACAGAACACGCTTATTGGCTGTGTTTTCACAGCAAGTGAGCACATATCCTGATGTCTATCGATTGGAATGAACAGTCTCTAAGTCCAGTAGCATTTCTAAGATCCATGTCTCTAGATTTGATACACAGCATGACACTATTGAATTCATGCTCCAACTCATCCGTAAGTCCGAACTGATGGAGAGAGGCGGGCAATATATTTCAACAAACACGAAATACATGCTTAGACATATTCTCACCTGCAATAGGATTTCCCTCCCGTTCTTAATGATCCCGCCTGGCAAAGAAAATGCAACAAAGCAACCGCATACCAATTACCAATCAGGTGCTCAACCAAATAACCAAAACAACATGCTGCAAGAAGATGTAAGTTTACATCGTGATTACCATTGCGAGCTGCCTGTTCTTGGATGACACCATCGGAAACCTGCACAATTTCGCCATTTCAGGGGCATCGGAACAGGCTCAGTCGTCAGACAAGACGAGCACCCAGCCTTAATAAAATGTTAAAGCATAACAGTGGCGCACTCACCATCTGGCCCATTAGAAGTCTCAGCCTCACAGCAGTGAAGGGCTCTACGATGCCGTCACAATATCATAAACGTAGCGGAGCTCGGCAGGGGGGCGGATCTAACGTAGGGTTTGGGGGTTCTGTTGAACTGTTGAACCCCCAAAATTACTGGAAACCCAACTGCAGTTAGAACTCCACCATGACCATGCTGCAAACGAGACCGCGGCGAAAGGAATGCGTCGATATCAGTCCCGGAAAGAGATATGTGGATTGGACTGCTCACAGCAAATAAAAAAAATGAACAATCCAAGCAGGTTAGGGGTTCGTCGCCAACAGAAGAAATCGACCAGACCAGGTGGATCTCCTCTCCTCGGCAGTTCGGTAGAGCGGGTTATGTGGATGGCGACGACTATGAGAGAGAAATCCTTCGAGTTGGCGTGCTTCGCCCGCTGGACGGAGGCCTGGAGGCTTGTTCGTGCGGAGGAGTGAGGTTGGGGGAAGAAGAGGAACAGCGCTCCGTCGCTCCCCAATGACGATTGGCGAGAGGTCAATCGGTACTTTTTCTAATTCTCAAAAAACAAAATCAGTATTTTTACAACAACAAAAAAACTCTGTATGGCTTCACAAAAGACGTGCATTAGAACTTTGGTAATTTTATTACAATTGATATGTACAAAATGTTAAGATATGTGACTGGAAACTGTATCACTTTCTCGTGACAAAAAAACACATTTTTTTCAAACATGTTTTTTCTTTTGCGGGGAGAAAGGATGTTTTATTCCACAATGAGAGGGTTACAATCACGAGACACCAATTCCTCACACCACGGAGGAATCGAGTTCAACCATACCGCAGTACAAGCTTCAGTACGGCTATAGTGTGCCAATTGATGTGCTACCCTATTTTGATATCTGCTAACTTTTAGAGGAACAAACTTCCTAACTACCAAATGAGCTTTAATTTCAGCAGCTAGATGACCATAGGCCGACCTGAAAAGATTGTCGCTCGAGAGAATGGCCAGAGCATTTGAAGAGTCTGATTGAACAATCACTGGGCATTCCGAATGTTGAATGGCCGGTGCCATACCCTGCATAATAGCATGAATTTCCGCTTCCAGGGCATCATTACAGCGGAAAATGTATCTGTATGCCGCAAAAATTGTAGATCCGTTCTCCCTGCGAAGCACCATGCCAATCGAAGCGCGTCCATACTGGCCTAAGAATAAACCGTCTACCGACAACGCAACCCAGCCCATAGGCGGAGGAGGCCAAGGCGTGGGGGATTATGTAATTTTTACACACTTTGGCCGACTGTCCTCATACAACGGCATCTTCCCTTTGACGATTTCCTCCATGCTATAGTTCCTTACCAAATTCAGTGACTTATAATAACTGTCAAGATAATCCATAGTTATCTCTACTGGGGTCTCATTCTTCCTGTGTGTTATATCATTTCGGAGTTGCCAAATACGCCAGATCGTCATGATTACCAAGTCCCTGGTCTTGTCCGAACATTTTGAAAGTAGCTGCACTATCCAGTCCTTAACAGAGTCTGCTAGTAGTGAGTCATCAGGCAAGGGCCAGATTGCACGTAAGCCCTCCCAAACACGTCGGGCGTGCATGCATGAAATCAATGCATGAAAACTGCTTTTAATCTCCGCTCCATAAATAGGACATGATCTCTGTATATGAATACGACGATGCGCTTTGCCTAGATTAGTTGCCAATGCACCTGTCGCCGTCTTCCATGCCATAATACGCATCTTGAGTGGAACATTAGATTTAAATGATGAAATTGTATCAATATTTAAAATGACATATATAATTGCGAATTGAGGGAGATTTTGGTGATATGATCCTTATGTTGCCTGGAAAACTTAGGACCTATGCGGCAATATTCTAAAATGATGATATGAAAAATGGCTGAAATGGTACGATTTCTTAAATCTCATACAAAACCATGTACGGATTTGCAGGCAATGCTTCACAAAAGTATAGATTCTTTTTAAGATAAATAAGATTCATCGTCCAAGGAGCCAGAGATTCCTTTTTAGTGGTAAATTCATTTCTTTGGTCCAAAAGCTCTCAACTCTCGTAATAAGAAGACAACAATGGGATAAACCTACCCACCTTCATTGGTTGAGTGAGGGGCATTTACCGTCCTTCAAAAATACATACTTCAACCCAGGCGCGACATTAAACATTTCTCATTGTTGCATAGTATAAGTAATTGTTAATGATTTTAACAGTTGCTCTTATGTATACATACATGCTTGGGCACGAAAGGTACGGGTGATTCTCGATCTAACTCCTCCGCTTCCTGGCCGCTAGCTCGCTCCCTCCCCGCTGTCGGATGACGCCGCCGGGCAAAGCCCATATGGCTGACGGTGGCGGCGGGGGTCCAGACGGTTCTATACTTAGTGGTGGCGGTGACATACGACAACGGATTTGAAGTGATGTACATGCAACGGCAACAACACATGGTGCAGCAGCCACGGTCCACACCGGCGACGAGGCATTGTAGCAGCAGGGCGGCGATCTAGGCGTGGTGATGACCTCTTGCCCTTTGTTCTGCAGTGTGCCAAGCCTCCATAGTGGAGTGTGTGGGCTGGACATGGAGTTGGTCGTCCGTCAGCAATTCCCGTGGATTCGACGACTTGGTACGAGCACGATGGCGGTTATGCGTGTGGCAGCCGGTTGCATCGCTCGCGCCATTGCATCCTATAAAATTGTTAAGCAGCGATGGCGCAAGCGCTAGATTTGTGTAACACCCCTATGTAATGACGCTACAGTAACCCTTGGGGTTAAGTTCATAATTTTGCTAAACAAGTTTCTGATCATTATTGTCTCATGTTTCTTTCAATTTTCCCTTTGAATGCAAATTCAAATGCTAGGTGAAATTCTAAATTGTTCATCATGTGGCAAATAATCCTTTGTTAATATTGGTGGTGGTCCAACATTTTTTTTCAAAGTGTCTAAATGGCCTAAAATAGCTAAAACAAAAGGTTTAAAAAAGGAAAAGGAAAGAAGAAGGGGTGGGAGAGCCCTCGCCTCCCCTTGGGCCTCGACCCACCTCGGCCAGCCGGACAGCCTAGCTCCCCGCACCGCGCCTCCCTCCTGTTCCACCGACCTGGTGCGCGCCCCTAGCGCGCCCCACCGCACCCGCTCGCCGGCGACGAGGAGGATAAGGCCTCCACGTCCCTGGCGCCTCGGGCCCTTCTCCCACTACCCCCCTCGTCCTCTCTGACTCTCCCTCTCCCTCCCAGATCCACTCCCCTCTCCCCTTTGCTCGCGCTCGCCCTTTTCTCCCCACTGCCCAAGCGCACCCGCTGCCGTCGCTGCGTCGATCGCGCGGCCACCGTCATCGCCCCGCATCTCTGTCATGCCATAGGCGCCCGCCGTCCTCCTCCACGTCGACCGATGCCCGCCGTTGGAGCCGGAAGGCACCACAGCGCCGGATCCACCCCGTCTTCCTCCTCGGGACGCTCGAGCTCGCCACCGTCGATTCGCTCCGCCGAGCCTCCCCCGAGCCCATGATTGCACACCTGCAGGCTCCTGGTGAGCATTTGCTTCCTTCCTCCCCTTCCCGCGACACCCCCATTCGCCCGTAGCCATGCTTGCCGCCCTGGGCCGAGCTTAGCTCCGCGGTACGTCTCGCCGTCGTGGCCACGGCCCCTGCCGTGCTCGCCTGAGCACGACATCGAGCTCCTGGTGCTCACAGGAGCCCAACGCGCACGCGCACGTGCCTTCCTGTGCCCCCTAGCACCTAGCTCGACGAGCGCCCGAGAACGTCGTTGCCTCCGCTCGTCGCCAGCATCGATTCCGGCCGTTTCCGACAAAACCACCACCAGCAGCTGATGCGCCGCTCACTCCCCGTTCGAACGCGCCTAACCCCAGCCCCGGAGACACCCTGTAGGCAAATTCCGACAAGGGCAAGTGCCCTCCGCCGCATTTTCGTGCTCGTCGGCGTTCGGCCGCCGGCCGGCCAATGTGGCAAGGCCAGGCCCCACCTATGGGTGGCTGACCATGGGCCCTACGGGTCCCAGTTCATTGGGTTGACCTAGTCAACTGTTGACTGGGCTGCCCAGTGAGACTGATGTGCGGGTCCCATCGCTTAATCCTCTAATTAAAAAATTTTAATAATTAAAAGTAATTAGTTTAGTTAATTAGACACTGACAGGTGGGCCCAATAGTTTTACTAACTAAATTTAGATTAGTTTGAACTCTGTTTAACCCACTGTCTATGACAGGTGGGTCCCCCGTGTTAGTTTTGACCAGTCAACCGGACTGTTGACTGCAGACGTCACACATATGACATGCTGACGTCATTTTCCTTTTCTGTTAATTTAAGTAATTCCAGAAAAATGTTTTAAAACTTTGAAAATTAATATAAAATAAACCGTAGCTCGGATCAAAAAACTTTATACATGAAAGTTGCTCAGAACGACGAGACGAACCCGAATACGCTACCCACATACTTGTCAGATGCCTCTAACTATCCGAACATGGAACTTTCCCCCTCTGGTCATCTGTCTGGCACAGGTTTGGAACCGGGAAAACATTCCCAGTTGAATTCCCCCTTCGCCTTTATCGTGTAGCCATACGTTAGGTCACACCCGGCACATCATATTGCCATATTATGCTTAGTGATGCATCTGTTTGCTCTGTTTTACTGTTTCTTCCCCCTCTTCTCTCCAGTAGACCCCGAGCCTGATGCTGCCCCTATGATCGACTACGTCGACGACGACACTTCTTCCTTTTCAGCAGATCTTCCAGGCAAGCCCCCCCCCCCTTTGATCATCCTGATATCGCCCATTCCATTCTCTCATGTTTGCATTAGATTTTGCTACTGTTATTGTTTGCTCCTATTCCGATGCATAGCTTGTTTATTGTAACCTGCTGTTGTTACCTATCTGCTTATCCTAAACTGTTTAGTATAGGCTGGGTAGAGACCCATCAGAGACCCCACTTTGTCCCGACCGCCCCGCTGGATTATTAGAAGACCCGATCAACGGGATCGAAGACTAGGCCCCG